GGACCGTACCCCCCTCCCAGCCAGGAGGGTGCTGGGGGTGCCCCAGAGCTGGATGGGGAGCGGGGTCAGAGTCACCCCAGGTGACTGGGGTGCCCACCAAGGGGTGCAGCTCAAGGTGCCCACCAGCCAAGCCCCCCAGGGCTGGACCCACCTCTCTGCTGCCCGGAGCTTGTCGGCGCCGCGGGTGTAGACGGCGATGGACCAGTCCACACAGCGGGCAAAGCCCTCCCTCAGCAGCAGCTCCGTGATGTTCCCGTTCTGGGGGAGGAAGAGGAGGGTCCTGCTCAGCCATGAGGGACACAGCAGGGGCCTCTGACCCTCCTGTACCCCCGAGGAGAGCCTGTGCCCTCCATCCCTGCCCCACCGTCACCTGCGACCTCACCCTGCCCTGCTCAGCCCTTCCAGATGAAACGGGTGCCCCACGATTCCCAGCACTGCAGCTCCGTGATGTTCCCGTTCTGGGGGAGGAAGAGGAGGGTCCTGCTCAGCCATGAGGGACACAGCAGGGGCCTCTGACCCTCCTGTACCCCCGAGGAGAGCCTGTGCCCTCCATCCCTGCCCCACCGTCACCTGCGACCTCACCCTGCCCTGCTCAGCCCTTCCAGATGAAACGGGTGCCCCACGATTCCCAGCACTTGGAACCACCTTTAGCCACCTCCAGCAAGTGGTGGCCAACAGCCTGCCAGGACCTTCTCCCACCCTGCTTGCTGGGGGCAGGATGGTGCCCAGGATGTCCTGGTTGTGGCAGATCTCCAGGATGAGCCACATGCCCCACTGGGAGGGGGGTTCTCACCCACCCTGCTCGGCCCCTTAAGATGCCACAAGTCCCCAAACAAACAGCCCTGCAGACCTGGCCACAGCACCCCCAGGGCTATCAGAGGCCACCCCAGCAATGCCCACAGGACTCTGCTCTCCTCATGTGCTGCTCAGATGGACCAAACTCTCCCACATCCACCAGTGAAAAGCCCACACCTCCCAAGCTTCCCTGACCCTTCCCACGAAGCAGCACCTGGACCTTGCAACCACCTTTAGGATCTCCAGCAAGCGATGACCAACAGCCTGCCAGGACCCTGCCCCACCCCACGCCACCACCAGCCCCACTTGCCGGGTGCAGGATGGTGCCCAGGATGTTCTGGTTGTGGCAGCTCTCCAGGACAATCTGCACGTCCCTCTGCAGCAGCCGGGACTCCGTGAAGAACTTGGCTTCGGCCGCAAAAGGCTCCGGGACTTCGGAGGCATCTGCCTCCCTCTTGAACGTGGGGCACTGTGGAAGAGAGGGGGACAGTCAGGGCACGGGTTGGCCCCTAAAACCTTGGCCAGGGGGTGGGAAACCTCCCTGGGGGGAGCTCCTGCACTTGGGTCACAACAAACCCCTCCCCAAAGCTCCACGCTTGGGGCACAGAAGCGACCTGGCCAGGCTGGATCCATGGGCTGAGGGACCTGGCCAGGCTGGATCCAGGGGCTGAGGGACCTGGCCAGGCTGGATCCAGGGGCTGAGGGACCTGGCCAGGCTGGATCCAGGGGCTGAGGGACCTGGCCAGCCCGGATCCAGGCGCCGAGGGACCTGGCCAGGCC